TATTTAATTAACTCATTGGAACAACGATGAAATAACTGCACACCATCTTTTTTGAAGATGAACTTCTAACTGTAGATGCTGTTTTCAGCCATCAGCTCGTCACATGTCCAACACTCCTGTTATTATCCAAATCATTTCTTGTGGAGCTTTCAGGACAATTATTCTCAGGCCAGAATCATCCGGATGTTTTCCAGGCTCCCTGCTTCACTGCATCCATTATAAATAAAGAAATGAACACTACATTGAAGAGCCACACCTGAGCTGTAATTTGAAGACGAGTGTGGGAGAAACAGTCCTTTTAACACCGACTGCTCAAACTGTAAGGGTGCAAAAAAATAATTGGACGGATACAAACAGGAAGCAGATGAACCGTCAACAGGAAAAAATCATCCTGCAGCAGAGACGACAATGATTGCTGCAAACTGGAAGGAGACAGAACATTAGACGCATGAAGGAGGCATTCAGAGAGCACGGCGGGAAACAAACGTCTTCATTCAGACAATCTCCCCGTGAGCGCTGCTCTGGGTCTGAACGATGGAAATAAAAACATTGAGTCTGTCTGCTGATCTCTGAAGGACACACGCACATAAATCACTGAACAGAAAAACTTCTACGACCATTAAAACCACGGAGGAGATGGGTGGAGCCTCGAAACACCAGGAACGAGCTCCTGAGGAAGAATCATCGAGCTGCATATGAAGCTGTTGTTATAGCCGTTACAGCAGTGCGCCTGCCACCTGCCCACAGACACCTGCAGGCTGTGACGGACCTGCTGTCCAAACCTTTGACCACAGCTTGTATCATATCCATCAGCCAGGTTTATACACTGAGCAGATCAGAGGTTTTACACTTTATTAAGCGCAGTGATTACAAAGTGTCACCGAACAAACAAGAAGACAAAAGTCAAAATTCAAGGAGGACAAGAGGCGGGAATGAGCGAGGTGTTGGCTGACAGTTACGGAGCAAAAACACAAGGGGGCGCTCTGCAGTGCAACGGCAAGGAGTCGCCCCCTGCTGGTTCTTGTGAACGCGATTCTTCCCCAGGATGTCGTGACAGCGGTCTGTCTCGAATAAATGACAATGAAAGTGTTTAAGGCTGCGTCTACACTAATCCGGATAAATTTGTCTAAAAACGCTCCACGTCCACACGATCGTTTTCAGTCCACGCTGGAAATGTTCCTGTTCTGTGCACACGTGAAACGTAAGACCTGCTTCATTTCTGTCTGCTGTGCATTTTCTTTCCTGCTCTTTGAAAAGTTCGAAATGTCGAAGAAAAGCACCGACTTTTATCTGGAGCTATCTGGAGGATGTACAAACTGATATTAATCTTTAATAGGGCCGTCACAATTGAGAGCAAATGAAACTGCTGCTGTACGTCAGTATGTCTGCCGTCTTAGTTGAATTGGTCACATGACTAAAATGCATCATAGTTTCTCGCCGTCCACACTGCGACGCCAAAACAGCGTTTTCAAATGTATCCGCTTTGGAGAGCGTTTTCAAAACGCCGTCTGAGTGTGGACGGAAAGCCTAAAGGAAAAGATGTGTTTTCAAACGAAAACGTATTAGTGTGGAAATCACAGCTGATTGTGTGAATGCACATGAAGGTGTGACACAGCTGACTGTGAATCACAAAAGCAATCGCAGATCTGCTCCTGAGCCGCTGCACGTTTATCAAATCTGCAGATCTGCGAGGTCAGATGGATTTTACACAGACCCGGAGATGAGATCTCTTTAAAGTGAAACAAACAGCAGCCGCGGGGGAGAAATTTCCCCACGAGCTCGGAGGCAGATATCAGCGAGCGCTGGTCCTCCCGCTGCGAGCTGCCAGTTCAGAGGTCGGTATTAAGGAAAACAAATATCTGGCAGCGTTTGTCTTCACGGCCTGCTGACTCAGAGAATAACAGGAAAGCTTCCTCACGTGTGCACTTCACTCTTTATTTGTTTCAGTTATTCACACAGATGAGCGTCTGCAGGCCGGCACTCATTTATTCTTAATTAAAGCTGCATCACGTGACGACCCGATGAGGTCGAGCTGCAGCTCTGAGTCTGATGGATCTGCGAACATGTGCAGAGCGTCACACGCGGCGGCGGCGGGAGAAGCACGTTTCCAGCTCGCTTCATCATCCCGACCAGAAATAAAGACGTCGGCTAACGTCAGACGTCTGTGTGTTACTCTGCACAGCTTAATTAATAAACACGCCTCTTTATTAGGGACAGACGCCACAAACAGCTGCTTCACAGTCTATAAGAAAGCAAACATCTGCATGTGATGACTTCCTGAAGGATGACTCATTAAACCCGGCAAACATCGGAATCTCTGGAAGTTCACAGACCAGCAGAATCAGCCCACAGTCACACCGAGGCGAGCGTGGTTGTTGCCGTGGTAACGAACGATGTTTGAAATAAATTACCAATCAATCAATCAATCAATCAATCAATCAAAACGGGTCACGCTGTCCGTCTGTGATGAGACGGCGAGTAACTGTGACGTTAACATGAACCATTAAATGGAAGCAGGCAGGTGAACCTTCACCAGTCTGAGAGCGACTGGTCCATGTGGGACCCTCTGGGTGACCAGTTAGTCCCACACAGTCGGTCACTGGAAGCAGATCAACGTGCTGACTGACCGTCCTGCTCCCTGAGACATTACTAACACTCATCATCAAGAGTGAGAGCGTTTGGGAGTTTTAGACGTTGTTCGCATCAGGAGCCACGCCGACAGGAAGCAGATGTTCCTCCAGCGGTGAGACGCTCAGCTGTGGGTTTAACAGCCTAAATCTATCAGCAGGTTATAAAAACACACTTTTAATGAACACGTCAGATCTGTGGCAGTTTGTTGGTGCCTTTCATGAAATCATGAAAACTTTTTCTTTCAATTACGTGTCGCTATGAATTATGGGAGG